CATTTTGGATGATTTGTGTTTAGATTGAGAAATAACTGATCCTTCTCAGTCTTAGTGCACTTTTCACCATATGGGCCTGCAGTCTCCCACAAGGTTAAGTCTAAATTCTTGAGATTCATGACTATGTTGGATTCAATGATCCTGTGCTTTCAATATGAAGACAGAAGAATGATTGATGATTTTGTTCTTTTTCTCATGGGGCGGGATAAGATACAAAAATTGTATCTGTAAGACTACTTTGTTTTATAAGACATCATTTTGAAATCATCATAGAGAAGAAAGAAAACATTAAAATTTAGAAAATGAGAACAAGGTAGTCTCCACTTGAGAGAGAATTGTTCCATGTCGATTTCAAAGAAGTGTGTACCAGGCCATTGTCCTGGAGGAGTTCTGTCCTTATTACCAGTGGCTATTCAGTTAAAATGAACTTTGTGGTAGAAAAGGAAAGGGAATTTCTTCATTTTAATTCCAACATTTGAGTTGCCTTCCTTAATTTGTTTTCCCTTTACTTCATGTAATATTTTTGCTGCATAAGAAAATGTTAATTTTTTTCAATAATGGCACATAAAGAATATGTGTAGTAAAACACAGGTCCTGATGGGGAAATAGGAAAAGGAGGAGAGGAATCCAACATCATAATGATGGTTTCAGGGACTGAAAAGCTACTTATGCCCATAGGATAAATACTTCCCTAGATCGTTAGATGAACCCGTTCTTCTTAACCTCAAGGACCTCTTAATCTGAAGCTACCTCTTTCTTCTACCATTGCAAAGTTGCACCAGAAATGATGTTCTGTTAGTAACAGGTCGTCACTGCTTGTACTCTCAACTGCGGGACCTGTGACGTACTCTTTCTAGTGTCTGGAGGGATGGTCTTCAAGTGTCCAGGATCCGGCACATTTTACAAAGCCCACCTCATCACTGCTCACCGCTGTGCCATTTGACCTTTTCCTAGCATCCACCTCCCCGTTAATACCTGCTCAAGTCTTGTCTGTTGAAGTGTCCTTTGCTTGAGCAGTGGAAATGTATCTCCAAAAGCTAGAAAGGCCTCATAAACTAGCAGGGCCCAAATACCACAAAGACAAGTGGATCTTCCCTTTTATGGGACTCCATCACATTTTCCTGAAAGCCTGTTGTGGTGAGAGGCAGCATCTTCAACAAGCCTCAGTTCCTGTACTTAGTGAGATAAAGTTTAACACAGAAGGCTTCTTCCTGAAATGCAACACCATGAAATATTCTAGGAGTGAACTCAGAGAAGACTTCAACCAAAACGACTTTTGCAGAGTGTGAGAAGATATTTAGATCAAGCCCAATTTTCTTACAGTCAGTCCATCTGACTTTCTGTGCTTTCATTGATTTCTATTTGTTGTAGCTACACATTTTCCTGAGTTATGTGCCTGTTTCAAAGCTATCACAACCCGACCTTTACAATAGGTTGTGTTTGGCATTTAAACTCATGGGCAAGGAAGTTATTTGGGATGTGAAAGAGGAATAATTACAGGAGGGAAAAGTGAGAAGGAGGGAATATCAATTCCAGGAAGAATTATCTTTTTGTACAGCACCCAAGCAAGTGACAGTCATGACCAGGGCATTTCTTGAAGATTGTTAGGAAATGATGTCACAGCTCCTTAGCCTGGAGATGAAAGTCTTCACCTGAAGCTTCCTCTCGGGCCCTCACTGCTAGCATTTGTCGAGTCTGAGCCCATGTGTACTTACCCTCCCACCCCTCTGGGTTTTACACACATAAGAGCACAGTGTTTTCCGTGAATACCACACACCGCAGTATTATAGAGCTTTGGATCAGAAAGGAAGAGATATGCACCAGGGTCCTACAGACCAACTTTGTCAAGAGGTCTTTCTTCCATGGATAGGGCCATATGGCAGCATTTGGGCAAAATGTGGGGCAGAGAGAATTGTAGGTATATTCAGAAGGTGTCGAGTAGTTCAACAAAGGTCAAGATTTGATTAAGAAGATTAGCAGCATCTTCTCATGAGAAGGACACCACTGTGAAGGTCAGAGGCACATGGGGAGAGATCAGTTGCAATCAGCAACTGTATAGCTTAACAAAATAATGTGGTTATTCAATCATTCCTGGTGAAGCAATCGAGCTCTCTCTACAGTAGAAAAATCCTCTACACGCAATTAGTCAGTGTGCTTGGAACAGCAGAGAATAAAAGGAGAAATTCCAAAATTTAGAATGAGAACTATGTTAACTGGGGAAAAGAAGGTGCAAATCAAGTATACACACCAGCTCAGAAACTAAAGAGAATGTCAGGGGTGGTGGCCCTTTGCACCCAGGGACTTGGGTCCAGGAGATGCAACTTCCAAGCTGAGGCTTGGGTCAGCCAAATCTGCAGCCTGATGGCAAGGAGGACTTAGAAGCAGAGAGCTGGTTGCCTCAGATCTGAGAATCCCAGCATACGGATATGATGGTGTGGCTGGAACTCCTTTTTAGGGTGGTAAGAAGAGGTTTTGAGTAAGGAGAGTCTTATACCCAAGCCTAGAGAAACACAATTGACACAAGATTCCTTGAATGCAGGCATGGTGCCAGCAATGATATTTGCCTATAGGTAGGTGAACATTTAAACTCTAGTAGAGAATGAAATTGATGGGTGGGCAAAGCAGCAGAGGCTTCTGTCTCTTGCTGAGCCCTTACTCCTCTTCTAGCTCAAATCAGGAGGCTCATCATAAGGAAATGTATCCCTCATAAGAAACTTCCTAGTAGTTCTCAAAGCAACTTCTGGTATTTTTACAAATACCATCCATCCATCCATCCATCTGTCCATCCAGCCATCCGTCCATCCGTTCATCCATATGTCCATCCAACCATCCACCCATCCACCCATCTGTCCATCTGCCCATCCATCTATCCACCCATCCATCCATCCAACCATCCACCCATCCATCCATCTGTCCGTCTGCCCATCCGTCTATCCACCCATCCATCCATCCAACCATCCACCCATCCATCCATCTGTCCATCTGCCCATCCGTCTATCCACCCATCCATCCATCCAACCATCCACCCATCCATCCATCTGTTCGTCTGCCCATCCGTCTATCCACCCATCCATCCATCCAACCATCCACCCATCCATCCATCTGTCCGTCTGCCCATCCGTCTATCCACCCATCCATCCATTCATCCAACCTTCCATCTGCTCATTCATTTATTCAGTTCTTGCACCAGCTGCTACATATCAGGTACCACTTAGAAATAGGAGGAAAAGCGATGGCTAGGAGGGCCCAGTGAGAAAAGCCTTTGGTAGTGGCTGGCTGGTCCTGAGCTCACACAGTCATGGGAGATGACACAGCTGTGGAGCTGTCAGGTGCTGAACAGAGTAAGGCGGGAGGGACTTGGCTACAAAGGGCGCCGTTCCGGGATAAGGCCTGACATCACTGTCATATGGTGACATAATTGTCAGTAAATGCCAGAAAGATGGTCATGCTGATAATTTCATTACACGAGCTGAGGTAACAGGTGGATTCAGGGGTGAATCATGTCTGGCAGGGGAGGAATAGACACAGCAGCCCTGAAAGTCCCATTTCCTTGAGGCAGGGCTCGTTCCCTACATAAAAAGCCAGCTGGCTGAAGGGACCACATTAGAACCGAGTGACCCTACTGTCTGTTCTTCTCCGTGCACCAGGTGAGTCTCTTTATTTGGAACTTTTTACCATTCACCCTAGGCACTTAATTTTCATTGGCATCTTGTAGGCATTTTGGTGTTTCTCGGATTATTGAAATTTGGCTATCGTCAGGCAGACTGTTTATCTGAATTGCACTCTAGAGATATTTATTTTGACAGCAATTGTGGTTTGGCCTTAAAGCAACTGTACACACAGTTGGTTCTTTCCACCCATCCTAGCTGTGTAGTGAGAAGAGGATGTGGTGAGGACCCAGAGTTAACTTTGTCACCAGGTAAGACTGAGAGCTCAGAGCTACAGGATTTTTACTGACCTGATTCTTTCTTTGTAATTTTTAAATAAGTTTATTCTTTCAACAAATACTTTGTGGGAACTCATTGTGTACAGCCTTTGTGAATGATTTAGTCTACAGATCATTTTTCTCCCTAAAGCTACATTATGTTTAGGAGAAAAGAAAAGCTAAAATACAACGTAGTGGGTGACCAAAGCCCAGTGACAAGGGTAAGTGCTGTGACTGGGGAGACACAGGAGGAGATTTCTGGAAGGCTACTCTAGAAAACCCGCCCCCAAGGTGCAGCGTCAAGCGATCTGCAGTGGCTGGGTAATATTTGGACCAACAGGAGCAAAGGCAGCACTGTGAGGGTCTAGGGCAGCCTTTGTCCTTTGCAGGTAAACTGTCCTAGGGACCCGAAGTGAGCGAGTGAGTTGAGGTTGTGAGGTTGTTGTTTTGTAACCAATAGCGTCATAGTTCCACATACTCCAATGCTGTGAGTCTTGGCTTCCTGCTAGGAGCCCTGTTACACGCTGTGCTGCTAATGGCTTCAGGTGTGTGTGGGGGGTGACAAAAGAGAGTACGAGGGAAAGCCCTGCCCAGGTGGAGTAGAACAAATTAGCTTTAGGTTCCTCCTCTTCAAAGGCTCAGAAACATGAAACTATTATTGTGGTAGAAAGGGAGAGAGAAGGGCCTATGCTTCCTAAGAGACCTGAACTGGCACTGAGCATGTCTTCTTTGTGAGTGGCTTCCTGTTTAAATGATCTCTTCTTTCTCTAGGGCCAACCACTGTTGAAGCATGAGCTCCCACCAGCAGAAGCAGCCTTGTACCATACCCCCTCAGCTTCAGCAGGAACAAGTGAAACAGCCTTGCCATCCTCCACCCCAGCCACCATGTGTCCCCCAGACCAAGGAGCCCTGCCAGTCCAAGGCCCCTGAGCCCTGCCAGCCCAAGGCACCTGAGCCCTGCCAGTCCAAGATGCCTGAGCCTTGCCAACCCAAGGCACCTGAGCCCTGCCAGCCCAAGGCACCTGAGCCCTGCCAGCCCAAGAAGCCTGAGCCCTGCCATCCCAAGGCACCTGAGCCCTGCCAGCCCAAGGCACCTGAGCCCTGCCAGCCCAAGGCACCTGAGCCCTGCCAGTCCAAGATGCCTGAGCCTTGCCAGCCCAAGGCACCTGAGCCCTGTCAACCCAAGGCACCTGAGCCCTGCCAGCTCAAGGCACCTGAACCCTGCCAGCCCAAGGCACCTGAACCCTGCCAGCCCAAGAAGCCTGAGCCCTGCCAGCCCAAGGCACCTGAGCCCTGCCAGCCCAAGGCTCCTGAACCCTGCCAGCCCAAGAAGCCTGAGCCCTGCCAGCCCAAGGCGCCTGAGCCCTGCCAGTCCAAGAAGCCTGAGCCCTGCCAACCCAAGGCACCTGAACCCTGCCAGTCCAAGATGCCTGAGCCCTGCCAGTCCAAGATGCCTGAGCCCTGCCAACCCAAGGCACCTGAACCCTGCCAGCCCAAGATGCCTGAGCCCTGCCAGCCCAAGGCACCTGAGCCCTGCCCCTCAACTGTCACTCCAGTACCAGCTCAGCAGAAGACCACACAGAAGTAATGGCCCACAGCCAGGCACTGGAGCTGATCACTGGATACTGAGCCCCTTCCCATTGTGTATGTGGATCCCAGTTGCCTCACAGCAGTCTGCTGCCACCCTTAGTCACAATCTCTCTCATTTGTACCCTAAAAACATGAGCTATGAAGCTTTCCTTCCTACACATTTAGGGCCTCCGAGCCTCTAAATTAGGCCAAAGAACTTGGTACCTAAGCAAGTTCTCAGCTGCCCAGAATTTGTCTGAAAAAGGACTCGGGGCGAAAATAAGTGATTCCATTTTGTTTCAGCCCATTAAATCCACTTTCACTCTATTCCTGGCTGTGTGTGCTGCTGTCTGGCTCAATTCCTTCTTGCCACTCCTGCCTGAAGCAAGAGCTGCACACAGAGCTGGGAGGCTGGGATTGGGGCTGGGAGGTGGCTTCAGATGACAGGAGAAGGTTGAGCAGGACGCCCAGAGGTGCTGCTTTGGGCACCACAGCTGGAGCAGGGTTACCCTCTTGTGACTCCATGAATCACACTGGAGCTGTAGTTACTGCCTGTCTGAGCTGACTCCAACTTGCCCTGCCCCTAACTCTGGCTTCTGGCTGGCTGAGTTACTCAGCAAAGTCCTCTGTATGTCAAAGATCATTGTCCCTACTTACCGAGTCTGCTCTTGCTGATATGTCCGTTCTGAGTACCTGCAGGGCAGATCCCAGAGCATACTCAGACTCACGGTCTCCCCTCCTTGTCATCTCTGCCAGTGCCCTTCCATTCCCAGAGTGCCAATTCTGTGCCAGAAGGAGATGAAGGTGATTCACAGTGCTTGCCAGGGGTGTTTCCTCATCCCACGGGGATGCACTTTGCTCCTCACCCAGGCTGTGTTCAGACGCAGGTACAGCGAGAAAACCAGCCCACAGCTGGGCCGGAAGCCTCGCAGTTACACAGAGCAACCATCGCCAGGTGACAGGAAGGAACCACGGGGAATGGAGAGTGCGAGCCCACCCTCATCTTAGCATAAAAATCTTGAGTGTGAGATGAAACAGACATCAGCAGCACACACATATGTGTGTGCAGACTGTATATGAAATTGTGTTTGTTTTTAAGGTTTTAAGCCTACTTAACTGATGCATACCTGTACGTCTAGGTGAGGTACAAAGTGATGAACCTAAGCGTGTATACTATACCTGCTACAAAATCAGGGTAATTGGAATTTTCATCCTTATCATTTCTTCATGGTTAAAGACTTCAAAGTCTTCTACTTCTTCAAAAATATATAATATTCTAATATAATTATAGCCATCCCATGTGCTGTAAAACATGATAGCTTATTCCTACTATTTTGTTACTCGGAGACAAAGTAAATTCTCTTGCAGGAGTATAAAAAGAGTCCTAATTTTCCCTCAATTGGAAAATGAACAAATGAAAAAAACCTACTAAAATTTGGTATAAGCCCAAACAATTGTGACACTTTTGATCATGACATTTTCCCCCTTCTTTCAAATTATTAGTCTATTCAAAAAGTGTTTACCTAAAAGTGTTATCACCCTAAATGTCTTCATGCATAAGCATGAATAAGATTTACAGTCATATCCAGTGACTACCTCTCAGCCCCACAACCAAGTAACTGAAACAAACAAACAAACAGAAAAGAAGGAGTTTTGATTACGCTGTGTTTACAGTCATCACGGACTGGCTAAAATAGCAGACATCCTTTTCATTGGGCTCAGGACAGTAGGAGTTATTTCTTCCTTGTGCCCAAGGGGATTGGCAGGGCATTCATTCCATGCAGCTGTAAAAGCACCCGGGTTCCTTCCCTCATGGTGCCTCAGGCTCCTTGCCTGCCTTATCCTCCTCTGAAATGAGGCACAGGAGCAGGAAAGAATGTACTGAATACGGGGGAGACCCATGAGATCCACTCACAACCAGGAAAGATATTCACCCCCATTGTTCTTATTGGCTAGGGTAGAACCTAACCACATGGTCCTATCTCCCTTACAAAGACATGTAATTTACAAGTGTGCCCAGAGGAAGATGCAGATTTTGGTGAGCCCTTCATGGTCGGGCACAGTCTACACTGTGGTCCTCAAATACCACTTACTCCTCTTGTGTCCTAGGCGGAACACAACACCCCCAGGAAGAAACAGCAATAGCTCAAAATCTAGGATCTCTCAGGGACATGGAATTTTCTTCACCAGAAACAGAGGTGATGTCCTCGCTTTAGGATTGGTGTTAGTAATCTTAGTCTTCTCTTGTTTTTCCCGATCATCTAGTTAAATGATTGTAAATTTTGTTGATCTTTTTAAAAAAATAGATATGTATAATCACAAATTTTCCACTATTCTCTGATTTCCATACATTTATGAAAACCCCAGCCTCTCACCCTAACCGAGTAGTCCGCTGCTGGAACTCATGGACTGCTCTCTTGCAGTGCATCAACAGATCCTAACTTTACTATATTCTTTGAATTCTGCCCTCCATAAGGCAGCCTGAAAGAAAGTTCTGTTTTTATCTTGGTCCACAAATATAAGTCTCATTTGCTCCAATTCTCAATATTTAATATCATTACTCTTTCTTTCTTTCTTTTTTCTCTTTTCATTTTTGGTTTTGTTTTTTGAGACAGGTTCTCACTATGCAGTTCAGGCTGGCCACGAACTCAAGGTGATCCTCCTGCCTCAACCTCCCAACTGTTGGGATTACAGGTGTGTGACACCACGCCCAGATGGTCTTTCTAATTCTATTAAGTCTAAGCAGTATTTGTAGTATCTCAATGTAATTTGATTTTCTTATTTCTCTGATGACAATTGTAATTGATCATTTGTGCATTTTCTTTGGTAAAATACCTTCTCTAAACTTTTTATTTATTTGTGTCCTTAATTTTGAGTTGTAAGAATATTTTATATATTCTGCTGATGGCTTGTCTTTCAGTTTTCAAATGATCTCTTGAAGAGTGTCTTAGTTACTTTTCTCATTGTTGAGACAAAATTTCCAACACTCAGAAGTTTAAGGAGGAAACATATTTCAGTTCACAGTTTGTAGAGGTTTCAGTCCATAGTTGGCTGGCTCCAAGGCAGGGTGGCCTGGCAGAGGGGCATCATGGAGGGAAAACAGTCCATGGCACAGTAGGCAGAAGGCAAAAAGCTTCCTTTTCCCTTTTTTCCATCCATGGCGCAAACCTTTTGGGTGTTGACCCTCACACCCAGGGTAGGCCTTCCCTTTATCTATATATACCCAGAACTATGCTAAACCAACCAGCAGACTAACCAGCACCACAGACACTTAATTTCACCCTCACACACCCGTGACCTAACCACTTCCAGAAAGCCCCACTATGAGCACATGAGGGTTTTGTGGAGACATCTAGATACAAGCCATAACATTCTTCCTGCCCCAGCTCCTGTACATGCTGTTATGCAAGAGGCGTTTAGTCCATCTGTAAGATTTGCCACAGTCCTAACAGTTTCAGCATCTCTGAAAAGCCCAAGTCCAAACTCTCCTGTGAAATTTAAGGCAAACTCTAAGCTGCAAGTCCCTGCACAAATAAAAAGAAAGTTAAACACTTCCAACATGCAATGGCGGAAGATAAACATTACCATTGCAAAAGGTAGACATAGGGGGATAGAAACAAATAGGATCAAAACAAGTCCAAATCCAACAGGGCAAACACTATTTCCCCTGGTCCCATGTCCAGCATCCAGCGCCATCTATTGCAGATGTGAGCTCCAAAGGGCTCGTGTGGCTCCGCCCCTACAGCACCACCAGCAGTTGCAGCTCTGTGGCCCTCTTTCTTGGGCTGGCTTTGCTAACTCCTTGTGATTTTCCTCGGATGATGACCCAAGTTCCTGGCTTCTCCAGCTTTCTGATGTCTCCACTGCAACTTTGGCTTCACACTCACAGCCTCACCCACTGCCATTTCAGTAGCACACTCCCTGGCCTCCCAGGCCTTCTTCTGAACTCTGCACTGAAGCCTTCCTGACCCCGCAGCTCTCGCATTCTGCAGGCATCTAAAAGCAGCGCCACCTAGAAGACGCCAAAGTCTGCCAGCAGATGGAGCTGTAGCCAGGCTTCCTTCTCTTCCCTGAGGAGATAAGAGTGGCTGGCTGGATCGGTGAAGCCGCAAACCCAAATCTGCAAAACATCTCCTCTAGGTGGCCACCGTTCTGGAACATGGTGCTCTGGCACTCTCCTCTGAAAGCAAAACCTTGATGCTGGAAAGACTGGAGTCCTGCTGCTTCCTGTGATGTCTTCGGGTCATTGTTCTCACTATCCTATTCCTTCTCAGCAACCAAGTCTGCTTTGCTCTATATTTGTAGTCTGCAACTTTACTGGAGCATTGCTTCTGGACAAACTTGAAACTTTATGAATCATTCTGCTGGGCCCTTTGCTTTTGAATCTCAACACGTATCTGGGCTAAAGCCCCCCAAAGTAGCCATGTCACAGCCTCAACTTTAGACTGCCTTGAAATTCCATCTTCCAGATTTATTAGTCCACCACCCTTAAACTCAGTCTTAGGCTAAGTATCTGGACATGAGCAAAATGCCGATAAACTTTCTGCCAAAGCATAACACAAATGATCAGGAGTCCAAGAGCTAATGTAGACCTTCTTCCCAAAAGAAACTTCCTGGTCTTACCTGCAACATTTTTATCAGCATTCTGGTGATCTGAGTTCTGACCAGACTCTCTCAGATTCAGCTTACAAAATCCCAGGGCTGTTTCTTCAGCCAACATCTGTAAGGCTTCCCAAAGTTTTTCTGTAAGCCAGTTCCAAAAGCCCCTGAATTACACGGTCAGGTAATATCGCAGCAATGGCCCGATGTCTGGTGCCAAACCATCTTAGTTACTTTTGTTGTACCTGAGACAAACTGCCAGACATCAAACATAAAAGGAGAAAAGATTATTTCAACACACAATTTATAGTGTTCAGTCTGTAGTTGACTGGCTCCAAGGCAGTGAGGGCGGCAAAGCAGAGGGATATCACAGAGGAGAAACGGTCCACGACATAGAAGGCAGAAGGCAGTGAGCAGCAAGCAGCCACCTTGCACTTCCCTTTTATCCCATCAAGGCAAAAAATCTTTTGCATGGCCTCAGCCAGAACTATGATAATTCCAGTAAGGGGATTAATTTAGCACCACACAACCTTAATCCAAGTATCCCCTCCCCTAGACTGAGCCAGCTCTG